ATATATATAATTCTTTATACCTGTCACTGAGTCAAGTTCTTTTTAAAAAGCTGCTTTGAAAGTTCCTTCCATGTTTTAAAAAGAACATTTCAGTTTCCTGATAAAACTCTTACTTACTTTCACCTTCTTGCATCATCTTCAGAAGCTGTGCATATCTTGCTTTTACGTCTTTATACTTGGCCTGTATGAAAGAAATTGAACTATTACATGTATACCCTACTGAAAAAAAAAAAAGCATTCTATAAACTAACCATGACTTAGAGTCGGACTCAAGAGTTTAAAATGATGACTTTTGCAGAGAATCTAATCACAGAATAACTTAGGTTGGAAAAGACCTTTAAGATCATCTGTCTTAATTAAACCACAGCCAAAGTAAGGAATACACAACAGAAGAAATTGATTAGTAACTGGGAGTTGATAAAAAAAGGCAAGCACAAGGCTTAGAGCAAGTTATAGTAAAAAAGTTGTATCAGTGTATTGATAGTGCAGGAACCACCATTCAGGCCTGCCTGAAGTATATAGTCCTGTTGTATTAAGGGCTTAGAAGTTTCTCCCCTGAAAAATTACAATTATAATGCACTTTCTAGATACTGAGATAATAGAAATAGTTTGCCATATTACTTAGCAAATAGTGCAAGACCCCACTGCTCTACAGATTATTTTATTCAGCAGTTACTACATTACAGTTTCTTTCCTTTTCAACTCTTTACAGTTTGCTACTCAAGAACGTATGTTTGCTGCTTTTGCAGTCTATCTGGTATCACCACACTTTCTTCATAAGTCAGTCTTTTCCTTAATTGGCCACCAATTTCAATTCTAGCCATGTATCTTAGCTGTAAACTTATTTTTCCTGTCACAAGTCTCTTCATACAGATTGCTCTTGTAGGCTCTTGAAAAAAAAGTTTAATTTCAGGCATACTTTTTCTGGTAATAAAGAAGCTACTACCTTCCACTTTGAGTATTGCACTAGTCCTCGAGGAGAATTAACTTAATTTAAGCCAAACCTTCCATGGCCACCTAAAACTGTATTAAGGTCTCTGGACAAGTTCATAAAAATAAACAGCTGTATCATCATCCATCACCCCACCAGCATCCTTATGCATTGTGTTTATTCTGTCAATGTGATCAAGTGCTGGTAGTGGTAAATATGAATGGCTTTATACTTAAAAATTTCACCTAGGGAGTCCAACTTCAGTACACAATGAAACCAGCTGTTAACAAAGTTCACGTCCAAGTAAAAGTACTTCTTTGAAGCACCAGAAAAATGCCTATCAACCTGCTCAGTCCACCTTAAGCAATGGCTAAAATAGTAATAAAATATTTTAAAATAAGTCTATGCTGCTTTACTGTATTTTGTTACAATGCCAGTTCCTCATGGAAATTTTGCCCTTTTTGCTCTAGATACTATCCAGACAATGCTAACATGGACGGAAAACAGGGAGAGACATTTTTCCCTAGCTACTCTAGTATATAGCAATACCATGTAATTACTATTGAGCAAATATTTTTTCCTGGTGAGCTTCAGAATATGGTGAGTCTGATTTCCAGTTTCACTCATGTATAACAGGAAAACATATAACAAAATGCAGGACTCCATTCTTGTTACACTGCAGCTTTAAAGGGACTTCTCCTGAACCTGACAAAATATTCACTGCTTTCTTTAACCACTCCAAATTTTGGGCTGGATCTGGAAAAAATACCAACAATATGTAGTTCTTAAATACCAGAAATGCTGATTAGAATTTTAAAAAATAAACAGGTTGGAAAAGACCCAAGGAAGTCCAACTTGCTGCTCAAAGCAGAGCTAACTTCGAAGGCAGATCAGATTGCTCAAGATCTTGCCTAGTCTTAGATTACATCTTTATTTTTTTGACCATGAAAATAGCAATACTAGAAAACGAGGCACTGATATGCCAGATACGACATTTATTTCTGGATGCTTTATCTTGATTCTTTTGATTATTTTTAGACGCTTAACTTCCTTACTAGGAAAGACCGTTTCATGTGGTCCTGAAGGAATAATTTATTCTGTAAATATGTGATCTGTGGCCACTCTAAAGCATCTCTACAGAGTGGTCACATTTTAATAAATACTTCATTTCAAATGTATAATAATGTTAAATTTTGTCTACTATTTTAAGGTATTATCAGATACATACCTCCCACTGAGTTACTGTATTTTTCAGTTGCTCAATTTCTGCATCTTTCTTTTCAAGCTCAAGCTTTAGTCGTTCTGTTTTTCCGTCTTTCAAAACACTCTCCTATAAGCAAGAAAACATCACTTCTTAATAATTTAGTTATGTAAATACAGTTCTTGGGAAAGGCAACTTATTTGTTTGTTGGATAAGAGAATTTTTTGATCAAAATTAAAGAGGTATATGTGGATAGATACCAAAAAGATAAGAAACGCAGTAATAAATATTGGCATTTCCTGTGGAGCAAAAATTATTTTAATCACTTGTTTCATGTTAAAAAAAATCAAGTCATTTAAATACCTCTTCAAATAGATTTAAGTATTACAGTGTTGTGTGGGTTTTAATTCTTTAAGATTATCATGCTTTTGATTTGTGCTTTCTCCTAGTCAGGTGCTCCCTTCTGATCACTGAATAAACTTCACTACGCAAACATCTTCATTTCAGAATGACTGCTGTTTTACATGCCTGGTTGTGTTCATGAGATGTGCAGTTATCTGTCTCACTGTAATCAGTGAGCTGGACTCTCCTTTTCTCTCTTTCAAGTATTCTGTGAACATCATCTTCCAGCTTGTTGAAAAATCCTCCATCACGCAACAAAGACTGTGAAGTCTTCAGGTCCTGTCAAAAATAAGTACTTTAACATATTTTCCTTTACATGTAAGTTAATATTGAGCTAGAAACCAAGATGCTTAAAAAATACCTTAAGTAATGGAAAAGCATTGCATCTAGATATTGGTTTATATTGTACATCCTGAGAATACTGTGACTTCCACCTAGAGAATATTCCAATTGAAGAGTGTCCTGGTTTTGGCTGGGACAAGCTTTCTTCATAGCAGCTAGCATGAGGCTAGGTTTTGGATCTGTGCTGAGAAGGCGGCTGATAACATACTGATGTTTACAGTTGCTGCCAGGACAGCCAAAGACTTTTCAACTTCTCTGCTGTGCCAGTGTCTGCACACCCCCAATTCCTAGCCTAGGATTTGACCATAGGTTTAGGATTGAGACCCAAATTGGCCAATGACATATTCCATATCATGCATGTAACGCCCAGTATATAGATGAGGATCTGTCCAGAAGTTCTCTCAATCTCTCTCAGTAGCTCTTCTCTGTGGGTTGCTTCTGTCTCTCTCTGGGTCATCTCACTCTCTCAGTTGGCTCCCGTATGTGTGGGCTCTTATCATCTTTCCAGGACTGCGGTTTCGGTTCTCCCTCCCTGCTTCAGGATCATTAGCTGGGAACAGGCCGAGCCTTGGTCATTGGGTGGTAAGCAGTATGACTGGTTATCATTCATTTGTATATTTGTATATATTGCTGTTATTGTTATTCTTATCATTAGTACTTTCAATTTTATTGTAGTTCAGTTATTAAATTATTTTTATCTCAACCCATGAGTCTCTTTTCCCTTTATAGAATCATAGAATGGTTAGGGTTGGAAGGGACCTTAGAGATCATCTAGTACCAACACCCCTGCTGTGGGGAGGGACACCCTCCACTAGACCAGGTTGCTCAAAGCCTCATCCAGCCTGGCCTTGAACACCTCCAGGGATGGGGCATCCACAGCTTCCCTGGGCAACCTGTTCCAGTGTCCCACCACCCTCATAGTAAAGAATTTCTTCCTAATGTCTAGTCTAAATCTGCCGTCTTTCAGTTTAAATCCATTACCCCTCATCCTGTCACTACATGCCCTTGTAAAAAGTCCGTCCCCTGCTTTCCTTTACCCCTTTAATTCTCTCCCACATCCCCAGGAGAGGGGAGAGTGAGTTGAGCAGCTGTGTGGTGTTTGTTGGTAGCTGAGTAGGTCAAAACCATAACAACAAGCCTACAAATTAATGAACATTTAGCTGATGATGAGAATACACAAAAGCATGAAGTTGGAATTTAGTAATTTTGCACTATGACTACACTAACTTATGTTTTATTTAACTATTCTTTCCTCTAAGAGTGTTAATATTTGTGGACTGCACCACAACATAGTAGCATCACAGTACCTTCTTATCTAATTTTCTCCTCTTTTTTGTACTACAATTTGTATTTTTAACACTTAATTCTGCAAGTTGAATCAAGGACTATCTGAAAACTAAAGAAGCAAGAAGTAGTTCTAAAAAAGCCAATACTAAGTTCTCAAGGTACAAGAACTGCAGACATACATCTCTATTAAATCTGCATCTGTAAAAATTTTCCAAATGGAAATCAGTCAGTTGCAGAATGTGTAATTGATTGTCGCTACAGAAAGTGACAAAATAATTGCCTTCTAAACATAGGAGGCTTTTTAAAAAAATTAAACTAGTTTAAATAAGACTTACCTCATGTTTTTTAGCAAGGTTATCTGAAAAGATTAGGAAAAAATTACATCAATAAGATATTCAAGTCTTGTACAGCTGGCTACTCAAACAAGGTATTTTGAAAAGTGGGGGAAAAACCCATCTACTGGGGATCTTCAACATTAACTCTCAAAGTCACAATAAAAAGTCGTTACTAAAGCATTAGAATCCAAGTTTATAAACTACGTATTATATCAATCCCTGTATTTGCATCTTCTCCCAAATCTTTCAGACTACTTAACCAAAAGCAGCATCCCATATTCATTTGCTTCAGTTAAAATGGAAGGCAATGTCTTTGGTACAGACACTTGGTTTGTTTCTTTTTAAGTCTAGTTAGGCTTTTATAGCATGTTATCTCACTGTATACCTGAATGTGTTCCAGACTGCTCTGCTTTCAATCTTTTTCCTCTATTCAGATTATCTAGAAATAATTTATTTAATAAATATTGTAGGTTTAGATAAAAACAGCCTTAAAAGAAAAACCTTAGAAAATAAATTACTTTCTTCCTTTTCTAGCATCTACATTGATTTCTTCTCTTCACTAAAATTCAGAACCTCTGCTCAACAGAGACAGATGAAGGAATTTTAAACCTATATATAATGCATATAATGAGTACATATTAGTTATTTCAATATTTATTCATCTTAATAAAAGCCAGTATCATGAAGAAATGCAAACAATGACTTGCTAGTACCCAGGAAAAAGAGAAACTCAGTTGCCCAAGAAGCACAACCTTAGTAAAACAACAAAAAAAACCCACTTAGATTTAAAAAAAAAAGTCACAGTAAGAGTGTTCGAGTCCACCACCCACCCCAGAGATACTACATGAAATCATGTTTTCCTTACCTCTTCCTTTTTTCTTGCTAATCTAACTAGTTCATTTTTATATAATGAACACTTAGCTTTTAGACTCAGTAAGACACACTAACTGCAACTAATTTAGTGTGTGTTTAAACACAATGTTAATGAACAGAGACAAAAGGGCATTTTGCTGTTAGCACACACACTATGAAAACTCCAAGTGGAACAGCTCATACAGTATAGGAAGGCATACCTATATTACTGTCTGACTGAAAGTCTTTCAGAGACACAGTGAGAGGTTTGTCTTTTCCTTGCTGGTTCTTTTTCTCATTCTTATTCACAGACTTTGACTGAGGTGAAGTATTTTCAAAGTTTTCTTGTTCCTAGAAGAATAAAGTCCCACTGCTATAATTTTCTTCAATACCCAAGTGTTTTTTTCCTGAAGCTTTATAAGGGAAAAAAAATTGTGATAATGTACTAAAGGAGATTTTAGCCTTAGCAGGATTCAGATTGGTTTAAAGGGTGCAATTAGGCATTTGATTCTGTTGTCTGAAGTAGAGCCTTGCTCTCCACTAAACACCAAATGAACTATCAGCCTAATACTTCCTCAATCACCTACATCAAACTTTGGCCAGAAACTCAAACTGAGAATAGAGTAGTCAAATGCAGGAAGACAGAGTGCCACACAATGCAGGTTACTACTTTCTTTAAAAAACAGAGGTCTAGTGTACCTTCTTTTTATTCTCAAAATATGCTTACTCATTCAGTAGAAGTCAGAGCTATTAGTGTGCTGCAATGCTCTACCAATTGACCTTACTCATATCGAAATCAGCCTGATAGACATTTGAACCAGAGACCCACCTCCCCACACATCTACATTAACATTCTTAGCAAATTATTTTTAACAACTGGGACATTGATAATCTTAAATACTAATTAATTAAATATTTTAATTCCAATTTTAAATAATCTTAAATGCTAAATAATCTTAAGAAAAAAAATTGTATATAGAAAGCAAAGATGGAAACATCGTGCTTTTTTTCCCCTAGAAACAAGATTTATCCAGCATACTTATGTTCTGTATATTTTGAGTACACAGCATATATTTTAAATTATTCAGAGGTAATTCTCAAAAAATCTACAAATGATGCTATGCTACTATGCCTGAAGATTTCTTCACTTTAAAAATGACCTTTTACTACGTAAGTTAAAAATTTAGCCTTGGTTTTAAAGAACTACAGTACTCTCCCCCTCAAAAAACTGAAGTATTGTACAGAGATATTTGCACAAAAGTGAACATGCAATTTTCATTTCTTTATGATGCATAATTATATTTAAATTCACATATTTTCATAACATTTCATTGGCTCCTGATTTCTTGCAAATAAAGTAAGAAGTAACTTCCTGTTAGAAATAAAAAATTCATCTAAGCATACTTTTGCAGCATAATTCTTCAGTGTTCCATAAGAGCCCTCTCAGAAAACAGCATCCTGACAAGCTAAGAAAATGCATACGGCTTATTATAACTGAAATATTTACACTCAAATCAGAGAAAAGATGTTACAAAAAATGCAAATGATTCAACCATAACTAACACTTTAAGACCTATGGAGACGTCAATGCTTCGATTCTTTTACTCTTCAAGTGTGCTCGATTTTTTCTGAGGAACATCAGGATGACGTGTACTCTTAAAAAATTTCAAAAGATTTATATGCCAGAAAATTGAAAAAGTAAAACTAATTTTCTACCTTTACAGGCCAATTCAAAAAAAACAAACCACCCATACTATTGTATGTAGTATTACATGTTGGGTTTTTTTCGAATCCAGTACTTCTCCGAACTCTCAACCATCTGAACAGTATAAGCAAACAATTTACATTAAGAAAATAGTATTATTAGGCAGGTTTTTTGCATTATTTTTAAAAATCAAGCCTCTAACTTGTATAGGTTTTACATTAGGATGTAAAAATACCTTTTTGTGCTCTTTGTATTCCAGTTTGCTTAGCAGCAATGCTTTTTCAAGATCAGCTTCAAACATTTCAGATGTCAGCTGAAGAAACAAAATTAACATGTTTCATGTGACTAGGTTGTTAAAAAAAAAAAACTGACAAAACCACTAAGACCACACTAAAATTTCAGTTTCAATACATATATCACTACAATTGCCAAAAACCTAAGTTTCATTGATGTGACATATGACACAATTAACAGTCAATGTAGCTTTCTGTACTGTGAATAATAAAATATCTTGCTTCAGGAAACTTTGTGATGGATGTAAGCACACAATAAGTTGTGCACATCTTTATGTAATACAGTTACAATCTTTATTTGTTTATATGAGATTTCTTTAAAATAATTTTTTAATCTGAAACATGAAAATTGGAGGATGTTAAAGTATGAAAAAGGTCATTGTAGACCACCAGCAAGTCTAAGCACTCATCTGTGGCACAGAAAAGATTAGATTAAGTGCACTTAAGAGAGCAAAACTAAGAAAACCTGAATTATTTCAAGATGTTTTCTCTTTCATTACTGAGAGAAGGAAGTATGTGAGTCTTCTTGGGGGTGCAAAGAAAATGTGAAGCTAAGTGTGAGCTATTAAGAAAAAGAACTAGGAACAACAAAGCAGGA